ACCTACTTCGTCACCTTCGAAAGAATTGCTGAGCAAGAGCCAGCGGCTGCAGACCTTCTAAAGTTGATTGTCTTTCTCGACCGCCAGAACATACCAGAGGAACTCCTGACTCAGTCTAACCTGCCCGGTATGGATAACCCAATTGAGTTTCGGACGGCTATTGGGAAATTAATTGGCTTCTCAATGATTACCAAAAAGCGAGGCGATATACCTGTATACGAGCTTCACCGTCTAGTACAGCAATCTATCCGGGAATATCTCACGGCTGACGAAGTCACTCACTGGAGAAACACCGCACTCGAGGTGATGTGGCGATGCTTCCCTCAATATAAGCATGAAAGGAGACACGTTTGCTCTCTTTATCTCCCACACGCGCTCGCTGTAACAAAAGGATCCGTGTATCCGATTGATGGCTCTCTCTATTATCGCATGGCGGTATATCTCTTTTCCGCAGGTTATTACAACGATGCAGAAATACAAATAAGACGGTGTATTGATTTCCGAGGGGAGGTCAGTGATGAAAATGAAAGCAAGGTGCATGTACGCGAGCTCAATCTCTTGGGCACTATCTTGCTTGATCAAGGAATGTACGATGAATCAGAAGAGCTATATCGGCGTACGCTGGAAGGTGCAAGGAGGATTCTGGGGAACGACCACCAGAGGACATTGGCTAGTGCCAGCAATCTTGCGATTGTGCTCAGACACCAGGGGAAGTACGATGACGCAGAACTAATTCATCGAGACATATTGAAAATAAGAGAGGAGAAGTTCGGAGTGGGTGATCCCAGGACCTTTAGTTCCATGTACAATCTGGCAGCGGTATTGGAGGAGCTAGGGAAGTACAGTAAGGCGGAAGATTTGTACCGGCGGGCCTTAGAATCTTGCGAAAAGGCTCTAGGAACAGAGCACCCTGACACCCTCCGCAGCAGTGGAGGCTTGGCAGGCGTGCTCGGTCTCCAGGGTAAATATGCTGAGGCAGAGGCCATAGAGCGACGGATACTCAGCGTCAAGAAGGACTTATTCGGCCTACATCACCCTAGCACTCTCGTCACCATGAATGGCCTAGGATCGGCCCTCCACGATCTTAGAAGGTACGAAGAAGCAGAGGATATATACCGGCGTACAATTGAGGGCACCGGAAAGAATGTGGGACCGGATCATCCCAGCATGTACCATATCATGTCCAACCTAGCTCTCACCCTAAATGAGCTAGGGAAGCATGATGAAGCAGAGAGGCTGCTACAGCGTGTTTTTGACAACTCTCTAAAGGTCCTAGGACCAGATAAACCTGAAACCCTCCGCACGATGCGCAATTTAGCATCTGTTTTGCACGGTCGAGGGAACCTCATCAAGGCCCAGAGCCTGAACCAGCAGGCGCTGAAAATGACAAGTAAAACCCTCGGCCCTGAGCATTGCGATACCCTCACCAGCATGAACAACTTGGCGACAATATTACGGGACCTTGGGCAGTACGAAAAATCGGAGGAAATGCAGCGGCGTGCACTGGAAGGCAGAGAAAGGGTTCTTGGGCGGAAACATCCCGACACTCTTACTGCTATTAGCAACCTAGCCCTCGTACTGAGGGACCTAAATAAATATCGTGAGGCAGAGGAACTGTGCAGGCGGGAATTAGAGGGAAGGGAGGAGGTGCTCGGACCAGACCATCCCCACACCTTAAACAGCGTCTCCTGTCTTGCCAGAGTGCTTCAATTGCTCGGAGAACACGAGGAGGCAGAAAGACTGAATCGGCGTGCATTGGAAGTTAGAGAGAAATTGCTTGGGCCAGAGCATCCCGATACACTTCTGGGCATCAATCTCTTAACTACAGACTTGGAAGAGTTAGGTAGGAATGAAGAGGCTGAGAGTATGTATCGACGCGAACTCGAAGTTAGGGAGAGAACTTTGGGACCGGATCACCCGAGCACGCTCACAGTTGCTAATAACCTGGCCATCGCGTTCCGCCGTTGGGGGAGGCTCCCTGAAGCAAAGGAGTTGCTTCGACGTACAATACAGATCGGGAAAAATGTCCCCGGGCCCGAGAGCCCGCAAGTTCTCCTCTCTATCACCAACCTAGGTATAGTCCTTCAAGATATGGAGGAATACGACGACGCAGAGACAATGCACCGATCTGCACTACAAGTAAGAGAGGAAGCTCTTGGGTCCGAGCATTCAATGACTCTGCTGAGTGCCCACGAGCTGGCTAGGGCACTACGCGACCTGGAGAGGTATGAAGAGGCCGAGGAGATGCAGCGTCGAGCACTTGATGGTAGAGAGAGACTACTCGGACCCGAACATCCCGATACTCTTAACAGCATTTATAACTTAGCATTACTCTTTCGGAAGCAGGGTAGGGAAGGCGAATTAGAGGAAATGAATCGGGATGCGTTGAAGCGCACAGAGAAAGCGTACGGTCCTAGCCACCTGGACACTGTTCGCTGTATGTATGACCTTGCCTCGGTGGTCTACAGACAGGGCAAACACATTGAGGCAGAAGAGTTATATCGACAGGTGCTGCACATCAGAGACAAGGCACTTGGGCCTACCCACCCCGACACCCTTGATAGCGTCAATAAGCTAGCTGGCATTCTGGACCTCTTGAAGAAGTTTGAAGAAGCAGAGGAGGTGTACGAGCGCGCAGTGGAAACTGCCGAGAAAACTCTCGGACCAGAACACCCAGATACTTTAAGGTCTATAGCCCTCTTGGCTATGGTGCTATATCACCGGGGAGAAGTTGCAAAGGCGGAGAAGATGATCCGATGTGCACTAGAAGGTCGGGAGAAAGCACTCGGGCCGGAACATCCCGATACCCTTACCAATTCTCAAAACCTGGCCTTTGTTCTGCGTGAGTTGGGAGAGAACGAGGAAGCGGAGAAGTTGTATCGTCGTATCATAGAACACAAAGAAAAAGCACTTGGATTAGACCATGAGGACACTCTTCGGTATGTCTACAACCTGGGGAATGTTCTGCATGATCTGGAAAAGTATGAGGAGGGGGAGAAGATGTTTCGAGGCATAGTCGAGGTCCTAGAGAAAACTCTCGGCCCGGAACATCCCGAAACCCTTACCGCCATCTCCAACGTCGGCTCCATGCTCCAATCTCGAGGAAATGATGCTGAAGCAGAGAAAATATACCGCCGTCTCCTGGAAGCTAGCGAGAAGACTTTTGGGCCGGATGCAATTGAAACCATAAGGGCTGCAAATGCTGTTGCCGTTGCTCTCTTCTTTCAAGATAAAGTAGTCGAGGCAGAGGAGTTGTCTCTGCGCTCACTACAGGGCTATGAGAGGGAGCTAGGGCCAGAGCACCCAGAAACTCTCAAAGTGGCTGATATTCTTGCCGCCGTACTCCAAGGCCTCAAGAGGTACGGCGATGCAGAAGAGCTATACCGCCGATCACTAGATGCTAGAGAAAAGACCCTTGGTTTCGGCCATCGCTCCACCTATACCACGCTCTGTCGTCTGGGTGCCCTTCATGAAGAGCAGGGACAGTTTTTGGAGGCGGAGCAATATTACCAGCAGGCGGTAGATAGAATAGGCACAACTCTAGGAGAAGACCATCCCGATTTTGTCCAATGCTTAGGGTTTTTGGCAGAATTGGAAGAAAGAAAGTCAGTCAGCCATGAGCCGGACAGCTGTGGAAACATTCAAGTGGCTGCAAATATTGGAACCGAAGTCTCGAAAGTCGGGTCAGATAGCACGGAAAAGCCCAGAGTTAATCGAAGCGGTACCCCGGACAGGTCGGCTCGGATTATTAGACTAATGCGGAGAATGGGTTTGTGGAGTGGAGGCTGGAGGCGTCGGGGAAGAGCAAAGCCCAAAGTGCTGTAAAGCTACATGTAAAGTTTCACGAGGTGTCATTAAAGTTCTGATGGTGGATTCACTTGTAATTAGAATTCCCTTCCCTTATTTTATAGTCCTATGCTATTTAGCCTTATACAGGGAAATGTCCCTGGGCTCCTATAATAACTAGACTCCTTAGAAATCGTAGGAAGACCAAGCCACTCTTGCGGCCTGTGACTGACGTTACCTGCGGGCAATTGTGACAGAGGATATGCCGCTAACCTCGCAAAAGGTCTCGGCCCCACATTCATTCCTGGCACCGCGCTCATACAAAGGGTAGGCTTTTGCTGTTGGTCCCGAGGGGTTAGACGGTGGTATCACCTCCCTTCATACCCCATCATTCGCCGATCCCGTTGTTGTAAATGTCGGAAATAGTTGCTTCTCAAGATTCTTGTAGTCCTTAGCAGAGGATATATTAAGCGAGAGCCGAGATAGTATCTACGCTAGGAAGCCTAGATGGGGACATGATCTTGGTATTGGACAGATCATCCACAGTGACTGCTAAGGTTGGATAGTATATAACTCCTGTATTCTGTAGAAATTGAAGAGCAGTTCGGTTCCTCAAGTTTCCCCGCACCTGCCAAAGGATTTACAACAGTAAAAGCTAGGATAACCGAAGCCTGTGCTACACACATCGTTGGAGTAGCCTCCTCTCGTACGGTCTATAATCTAGATCTCATCCTAAGGCTATGCCTAGACTTTCCTCGCCCCCACGCTAATCCGTCAGATGATAGTTCCATAAATACGGCTCTTGGTCTATGTGCGAGTACAGTACAGTACGGCCTCTATCATTAGTAGGAGGGGACAGTGATCACGGTGATTACCCCCGTTAGCGCTTAACCGGTTTCTACCAGTTAACGGGGCTGGGCGGAGCTGATGTATTCGCGGACGAACCTGGAGATTTGCTTTTTTTGTGTATTTAACGCTTGGAATGTCATCTCCACTCCGGTTCTCTGACCTGCTCCAACTCTAACTAGTTTGTGTGAATTGATATGACTGCTAATGAGAAAGAAGCTTGATTTTCTTACCACCTGCGCAGCTGTGGGGTTTTATGCTAACTGAACTATCAAGTGAAAGAAAAGAAATATCAAAAACCTGAGGCTGGTAAATTTAATATGAGGACCTCGGAGGAAAGAATCTGACAAACCCTCAGTAAACATATGAGAACCTCAGAATACCATAGTTGAATATAGCATGGTTGTGCGGTTGTGAAACAAATGGGGAAGAGATGAAGAAAAACTCAAACAGTAACTAACGTTGAAGAAAGTGGCGAAGAAAGTACTAGGAGAAACTAACTAAAAGGAAACTAGTCTATTTGACAGATAAGCACTAAATCCAACAGTTTGAGCGAGTGATACTGTGTGACCAACAAAACTGGGCCGAGCTCGCTCGAAACTTAAGTCCAGAGCGGGTTCGTGAGGGACACTAGCCACCAGTCGTTCACGTGATACTCGTGGTTCCTATCTCTTTTATTAAATTTAGGCCTCTTGTGTTCTCTGTTCCTTGATATTTCAATGAAGCCTATTGTATTCCCTAGCCCAAAATTTCGAGAGCAGAGTATCATACTCAGCCCCGGTCGGTGCCAGTTCGCCTCCATAACTCGGTCTTCTAATGTTTACCGTGAACAGGTCGCGAATTGATGGCTCAGTATTGGAGGCACACCTCGCATGGAAAAGTGCACCGAGTCGCTGAGCGCTTGAATAAATGACGATTTTCATCCGCTATATTAAACGTTGATCGACGGAGGGAATAGCGACAGCGAACAGCTAAACGGTGAAAAGGTGAAACGAAACGCCAAGCGTTCACAGACGAAACAATCGCACAACTCGGGGGCGGGGAAAAACTCTTTGCTTCGTCTACTACACTAACCGATGGTAAAGGCAGGAGTAGATACAATAACAATGACAGACAAGTCCTCCCTTCCTTCCCAGGTGTGTCTCCCACTTACTTGCAAACTCCATAGCTCACAAAGGAAAAGACAAACTCCCACTATCTATAGTCTCCGCACATCTAATACCCCGAGCATCAAGCTCTCCGGCATTCCACTATCCTTCGCGGCTTTCCCTACAGTCTTTCCGCTCCCTCTCCGGTGGATGCATAGATCCAATAATTCTGGTGCATTGCCGCAGCCAGAGTGCGCCCGAAGCCAAAGCGTGCTCTCCGAGAGACTATGATAACAAAACATCGTGAAGGCATGCCGAGCGGCACCTCCCGATTTCCAAAGCGCTATTGGAGATCGCAAAGTGGGAAAGTAATCCCAGCTCATAGGACAAACCACGCCCCCCTAAGGCCCCCCACGGAAGGACGATGGGCCACTTGGCCCCTCACTACCACCATCCACCCCGCCCTATAGACGGCTTTTAGGAGCGCTGGAAGAAGCGAGGTGGTTGGCGCAGTACCGGTAGAGGGCGTGGATATCGGTGGGGCCCGGCGGCGAGATATTGAGATAATTGTCTAATTTGTGAGACGGTTCGCCTTTGGGTCTCAAGAGAAAATGTGCCACCATAGAGTCATGCGGTGATATCTGCATTACAGGGGTTGTGATCGGGTTAGCCTGACAAGGAAGCACAAGTACTGCGCCGGCACTACCGGTACCGGTAGCAGCCTTAAGTAGACGACTGGGCTGTGGTGATTCATCGACGCGCGGTACCCATGCATGTGTGGTGTTGTGTTGTAATCGAGTTACGACTTTCCTCCAGGAACAGGCAGATGCGGGAACCACATAGGATTACTCCTGTCAGCTCCTCTTTCCATAGAATCGTGGTTCTGGAAATTGATGGTTGAGCAGACTACATAGTGGCTAAGAGTCTGTCTAAGGGGTTAAGGGAAGATTCGATGGGCTAAAGGTCAATAAGAGAAGTAGGAGAGGTGCTATATATGCACGGACTTCTTGTCAGACAGAACAAAGATCTTTGCTGTTCTGCTATACTCCGCTGTCATTTATTTCCGAACGTCTCGGCGGTATTCCCACGTGCTCTTCACACTTACCCCCACAACTCCTCGGGAGATGGAGATTCCTGAACAGCCTCGGACATTCGCCTCCCGCGAGTTCCTTTCGTGGAGTATAGAAAGAACCTGTATTAACCCCTTGGAAACCTTAATCTCGAACATCAGTTTTCCCCAACTAACTTCCGAAACCTTCAAGCCCCTCCCATCTCACCTAGCTCCCATATAATACATGTTCTGCATCCTCACGATATACTAACTCCTGCCGCCTACACATTAGACCTCCCGTCCCCGCCCTGCTGCCACTCAATCACGATGGGACCTTCGTGACTTCAATAGAGGGAAGGGGAACCAATTCAGAGATGTTTTATGAGTTATGTTTTTCTCCTCCCCTTCTCCCCCTACTTCTTCCATCCTTCCACCCAAACTACCATCAGTGCGCTTTTCCAAAGAAAAGCTACTCGGGGCGATGTATTGATAGCTTTCTGATGATAATAATCATTCCGGATCTGGGATGTAAGCACTACCTTTATGACCCAGGCGTGATACCCCGATTCCAGGAGGAGCATGCTAAGGCCAAGAATATTAACCGACAAATTTTGGAGGGCAGAGGGTAAAGAAGGATGCTGCGGGCGCTATCGGGACTTGGCGGGGCTCTCCCTACATCAGGTAACGGGCGGGGAAGCGGAGGAGATTCTTCAGTGCCGGGCCCGGATGAGCACCTATCTTTATTAAGTTCAAAGCGCATTGGAACACAATCTATAGCCAATAATCGAGCTATTGCACTTAAACACTAAAGAAAATCTGATCTGATAGAAGAAAAAATTGTTTTAGCGAATGCTTAGAACCAGAGCCATGATATTCGGACTCAACGTTATCACAAATATATACGTGTACAAGTCTCCAAAACCTAGCTAATGCGTACAGAAGAGTTTAGGTTGTGTTGAAGGCTCTCGAGTACTGTATCGTGAACGAGCCGATGCCGAGCCCAAGCCCCCCGGAGCCCTAATACTTGTACCAGTATCAGGTGAGGGTTGGGTGAACTGAAGGAGGCGAGTTACCGGGATGAAATTTCCTTCCGCTCTGATGATGTAGGGTCGGCTTTATGTTGGAGAGCTTCCCTGAGTACAGTATATAATTTAGTATCCGCAATCGCTTTTGGCTGCATGGTCCGGTAGTACCCAAGCACTGCCAAAATCGAAAATCTGTCCTGAGGTTTAGCTGCTAGGGTACCGGGTAGTGGCAACCACTCTCCTCTGGCAGCCCTGGCAGTGGGAGAATTGTGTTGAAATAGCTATCGCCCACAAATGAAATATCCCTAGAACTAGTGCCTCTAATAGTCCTGAGAGGTTATGAGAAGTAAGTGCAATCCCCAATTTACAAGCGGGGGTGTGGCGGAGGGGTTGTTTGTGGACAAGTACCCCAGTTGCCGGATTGTAGTCGCGTTTTTTTTTTTGGTGGGTCACCACCAAAATGGGAGCGGCTTCGATCCTGCGACTTGAGCAAAGGATGGAGACAGACTTTTTTTTTTAGGGAGCAGAATTCTCAGCTCCTTGGCATGTCTATTCTATACTACAGCCTTACAGAGGAGAGCTGAAGGCCTGTTCGGCGCGGTGTGGTTGGGAACCCGAACCACGCGAGGCAGACTATTGATATGATACCCGAGTATTCCCCGGCGTGTCCCATAGCTCCGCCAGGTTTGCTGAGACCAAAGCACTACTCCTCCGGAGGCCTGCTAGAAGACCTGCTATGACCCCGCTCGTTACTGTACGGTA